ATGGCTTCCTTTATTTCTGTTTCGCCAAAGCAGTTCTTCAAACTGCAAATTCGTCTGCTTGTATGTCCTAAAAAATCGCACTACGTTAATATATAAAGTGTTTTTGAACTTGAATTGTACATGGGCTTGCTCAGCCTCCACCATCTTACTGGGGGATTATAAAACCATCAGACTGAAACATGAAACAATCAGAGCTCGCACTTGGTTGCGTACAAACGAACGAGCTGGAATATATCAGCAAACGTGAACCTGATTAAGCGAACATCTGTTGATTTATCCACAGGTGACAGAAACGAGGGCGATGACAGAGAGGCCTGGCGGACCACACAAGGGCTCCAGGGCGAAACTGACCAACTCCACGGTCAACGGGAGCGCCTCCGGCTAGTCAGGGGAGAATCACAAGGCTGGATTAGCCTGCAGAGGGTGTCATGAGAAACAAGGCGCCAGGAGGAGCGGGACTGGACAAAAGGACATAAAGTGGACTGTAGTGTGGGGAATAAAAGAACATTTACAAAGAGGTCATTTGAAAGAATAACAAGGAATACGAGAAAGAACCAAGACGCGAGTAAAGCGAAATTAAAGGATTTCATCTTCATTAATAAAAATAAAACTCCTCACAAAGTACAAAATAGAATAATGAAATAGAAAATTCATTTTTTTTTACATAAAAAGCGTTCGGCAAATAAACCCAGAAATTGTGAGTATTCTAAGAAGATCTTAGTTATTTTATTTCTTATAGGTAACCAGTTGGATTTCAGTCCTCTAATAAATAAAACTAGAAGCCTACATGCGCCAGATCTTTGGTTGAGTTCCAGTGTTTAGTTGCGATCTCCCACAACATGAAAAAAACGATCGCTTTGAAAGGACATTTGATAAAATTACACGACCATGCGACGTTTAGTTTTACTTAAACGAGGAGAGAGAAAAAATCTGTTTGGGGTCTAAAAACAGGCGCAGTGCGCGTCAAATAACGCAAATCCCGACCTGCGTTTCTTTCTTTCTTTCTTACTAAAAAGTCACATTTTTACACCACATTAACCTTCAGTATTTTCCTTTTCTGTTGTATATTTTTTCAGCTTGCTCGGCCCTGAAACGATCTTCTCAAGATGTTGACATCTTGCGGACGCAACGCCGAGTTTCTTGCTTTTTTTCTTTTTTCTTTTTTCTTTTTTCTTTTTTCTTTTTTCTTTTTTCTTTTTTCTTTTTTCTTTTTTCTTTTCTTTTCTTTTCTTTCTTTTTTCTTTTGTTTAATTGCTGAATCTAAGCTCAAATAATAATGGGCGACTTCAAAAATTCTACTTTCGTTCACAAATATAAATGGCCCTCATGGTTACCAAATCATCGTGAAATAACGGATTATACTTTAAACTGTCAAGTGGATTTTAATTCTTTTTTTTTTCTTTACGTGGATTCACAAACAAATGTGAAACTCAATTTGCTTCACTTATTATAAATGAATCTTCTAAATCAGGTAAGATGATTCAGTGAATTTGCTATTTATATAAGAGAAGGACAGCAGGTTCTAAAAAACAACAACAGATGTATTTCTTTCGTTTCCGTGGAGTCTTTTCGACTTGCCCACATAATAAGAATTCAAGTTATCACAGATCAACTGATCACACAATTGATTCGACATATTATGTATAATGATCTTTGTTATTGTTGACCACCATTTAAAATGAACAATTTTGTGCTGGGGGTGTTCGCAAACCTACAAACGAGTGGCTAGCATTGACTGCGATCCATGACGCATCCTTGCCGGTACATCCTTCTTAAATCTAGTCTGTATACCCTTCGTGAATGAAGACAGTACATTTTGGGGCATTTATACATGAAACCAAATGAGATGATCTGATATCCGGACAGGAAACTCGCTCTGTCTATAAAGACTGAGGCGCCGACTGGGGCATTGAGGAGGCTTTCATATAATCTCGGTCAAGTGCTACTATTCGCCCGCTGTCACGGTCTTGGGTAAGCTTATGTCCGCTTGGGGTCTTTGTGCTGTATTACAAGATCATCTTCCAAAATCACGCTATCAAGCTTGAAAGCTGCACTGCAGGCTAAGTGAAGGTTGCAGGCCTGTCCTCCATTATGCTCAGAGACAGCGAAGGTCAATGTAAATAGCAACGCAAAGAGCCGGCCCTGAATGCAGAGCTCATTCACGGCTGACAGCGCGTGGAGTGATGTTGTGCATCGTGTACAACACAGTTTCTACAATCTAAGCATGTCAAATTGTCCAGTGTTATTTCATAGGACGCATTTTTTTATTTAAAGAAAACACTAACAGTGACTTTTGTCCATTGCTTGTTTTGTTTTTGTTTTATCATTACCTCCCACTGTGTAAATTAAAAGCTGATAGTAAAATAGAAACGCGTTGAAATTTCTGCGCTTTCAAAACTCATTCTCTAGTTTATTTGACATTCTACAACATGCTAATTGAAACCTTTTTTATTCTCTAAAACAAGCTGTAATACACTCTTTATCCTTAGTGTGGCAGCAGAATTCAATTTTTGAACACAGTGCGGTCCAGCCTCCAGAGTTTTCTAGCCACGGTCCAATCAAAGATGGCTCTCGCGAGGAGAGAGGGGTAGGCGGAGCATTGCGCTTTGAGCTTTGGACTCTTACGTTGTTTCTCAGGCTGCAGGCGGGACTTTCTTGTTTGTTTTGGTTTTCACTAAGCCAATAGCAACACGCTCTACTTCCTCGTAGCCAATAAACTTACACTTAGGTAATGCCACAAGTAACTTCCGCTCCGCAGCTTCCGCCTCGTCAACGCTTTCCTGTGCGTGTTTTTCGGGAGCAGAGGCGCGTTCTGGAGTCAGACATCAAACTTTTCTCCACATCTATGTGCTTGTTTAACACGTGCGCGCCCCGCCGCGCCGACGTCAGAAAACGTGGCAGAGACGTAACATCACATTTCCTGCTCTCTGACTGCTGTCTCACATGGCTCTGGTGTTTGTCCTGATCAGCCAGCTGGGCATGTGCGTGACAGGAGCACAAGATATGGCACTACAGAGCATTTAAAAACGGTTCATAGTCCGGCCCACTGTTGACTTACTTTATGCAACCCATAGCAAATGTTTGTTTTCATCCTACTAAGGTGGGTTTTTAACGCGCAAACGAAAGTAAATACCGTATGAATGGTAAATTAAACTCGCTGATCAAAATCTGTTCAAAGCCTAAGAACAGCAAACAAAAAAAGGAACATAAAGTAGATATTAGACCTGTGGATATAAATGACACAAATAAGGCTGAAAATTTTAGTCAGACTAAGCGATTGGGGTTTTGGCTATAACCAAACAACAAAGAGGATATTGATTATGCTAATGAATAAACTATATAGTAAGTAAATAAGTAAGTAAGTAAGTAAGTAAGTAAGTAATAATAATAATAATAATAATAATAATAATAATAATAATAATAAATTAACAACATTGTCCTCGTCATTAGGTGATAAAAACATGATAAGATGAAATAAGATGTTTAAATTAATAATAATTCTCTCTCTCTCTCTCTCTATATATATATATATATATATATATATATATATATATATAATTTATTATTATTTTTTATTAAACCCTAAGGTTAACCCAGTGGCTATAGCGATGTCTGCGATTTCACGACTGGCAACTATCTGGTAATGCGATTAACTGTAGTACGGAACTCTACGTAGTCTCTCAAGAAAGTATTTAAGGATAACAATTTAACAGACAGACACAATGTACACGATAACATTTACACCATACCTAGAAATTCTGACCTTTTTAATTCACATTTTATTTAGGAAAATAAATCTAAGCACACATTAAATATGTTATTTATTTCCATGTTTTTATTTTTCATTGTTTTGAAATGAAACAGTTCCGTGCGAAACAGTGCTGTCGGGAAGACACCAAACACGTAACCCTCTGAATAAACTCTGCAATCCAGTCGTTGGGTATAGGTCGAAATTTCTAAGGCATTCTCTTAGACCTTTTAAAGGGAGTTTCAATGTAAGCCTACTTAAAACAACAAAGCATAATCAAACAGATACGGGGATTCTCATAAGTGTTCACTGTTTTTTTGTTCTCTCACATTTTCAACAAAGACCAACGAAGGTGAATACTTTGCCAAAAGAAACTTTCTGATTCATCAATCCGGAAAATATTTGGGCTTTTTGCGAATTATATAAATATTAATATACATTTTTGTTTGCTTTGATTTTAGTTTAAAAAAAACACACAATCTCGGAGCTCTTTCACAAACGCTTAACTTTGACTTTAACACACAGAAAAAAACTTTAATATTAAATCAATGGTTTCCAGTGTGCAGTGAGTCCGTGTGAGCACTTCGGACATATCGCAAAGTTTAATATGTCTTCAATAAAAAGTAAATTGTGGTTCCACTTTTTCTCCTGCGTATGTTTATTCTCCCGCGTGGTCAAAGTCAAGGCTAAAACACTAAGGCTACTGACTAAGTTCATTATTATTATTATTATTATTATTATTATTATTATTATTATTATTATTATTATTATTATTATTATTATTATTATTATTATTATTATTATTATTATTATTCAGGCCTCTAAGCTTTGAATGGGATGTCCTGACCACTACAGTATTTTCCACAGTCGTCACTAGATGGCGATGTAAGCTTATATTTCAGCACAGACCAGCCTCAACTGATTTATTTCCTCTAATCCCACAGCCAAACGGGAGTCTACAGCACAGTTCAAATATTTGACTTTCTAAATAGAATTTGTATATAGCATTTCTGGATAAAGTTCACCTCAAACCCAGCAAAGCCACTAAGAGATAGTATAACTGTAAAAGCTGGCTGTGCGTCTCTACAGCAAATCTGCGGGCCTTCATCGTATTTTAAATTCCTATTTCGTAAAAAAGGAAAATTCGCTCTTTTTTGTTCTTAAGTAAGGTAAATACGTTTAAAGGAAAAATAATGTTTATATTAAATTGAGCTATAATCACTCAAATAAACTCAAAGGATAAAAACTTAGATAAAATTCAACCAAGTCCATATTTTATTGGGACGGACTTTAACGCCGACATATTGGGACTCACACACAACCTGGATATCACGCCGGAATTTACTTTTACACTTATTTACAAACACAAGAATACGCACACACATTATAAAAGCTATGATTGACATGAACACACATCAGTCATATCATATGACGATTATCTAAGCATGATAATAAGAATTGCACCATGGACTGAATAGGCATGAGAGCACGGATTCATATGATAAAACTACACTTCATACAAGTTAAACATGTGGGTAGGTTTAAAAAAAAAAAGAAGAAGAAGAAGCCGGGATTGATTAATATTTAACATCCCACAAGGTCCAAATTTGTCACACCGTCACTTCCTGTGAATCTTCCATTTATCACTCTCGTTAAAAAGTTGTAGTCTAGATAAAGGTGTAGCTCGGTGGCGCACACACCTGAGGTCACTTTGAGAGTGAGCATGCCAAAAGAAAATAATAATAATATTAACAAGAAGAAGAAGAAGAAGTCACGCCTACTGCAGCTATACATTTTCTCTTTTCTCCCACTTGAGTCTCTGAACAATATTTAACAACAAGTAGCAGGAAGAGGTGGGTCCGGAAAGTTTGTCTGGGGAGCTCCGGGAAAACATTTGCCTACATACATATGAATCATAATCGGTCATGAAGGAGCTGCTTGCCCTAATCCGTGTGTGTGTGTGTGTGTGTGTGTGTGTGTGTGTGTGTGTGTGTGTGTGTGTGTGTGTGTGTGTGTGTGTGTGTGTTAATTTCCCATAGATTTTGTCCGTCATCTAAAAATCAAAAAATGTGTAAAAAGAAAAAAGAGAAAAAGAGAAAAAAGAAAAAGAAACTAGCTGATAGTTTTCAGCTTGTTGACGATTTTCTTCTCCTTTACGCGTCTGTTTTGAAACCATATCGTGACCTGTCGCTCGGACAGGTTGGTCTGAGCGGATATCCTCCTCCTTTTGTCCTTTGTGATAAATTTATTGGCGGCGTACTCGCGCTCGAGTTCCTTCAGTTGCACCTTGGTGTATGGCACGCGCTTCTTTCTTCCACGTCGATAAGACCCGGAGTCTCCCCCGGCGTGAGACACTGCGTCTGAGAAGGAAAAAAAAGACAGAGAGAGAGAGAGAGACAAAAGAACATGTGATAATCTGCCTCTAAACTTACTCTCAGAATAAAATTTCCCTCCCACGAAATAAAAAAAAGAAAATGTAAATAGTTGAGTGACACACTTTCAACCTTTTTTTTTTAAATAAAATAAAATATTTCATGATGTTTGAGGTTATTGATGAAAATGGGAAATCCTCAAACCAACTGGACAGGCTTGACTCTTTAATGATAAGTGATTGATAAAACAATAGAAAAATGTATTTGTGTAATTTTCTCAAAGGAAAACGCAACTTAGCGCATTTTAAAGCGTCCTCATATTAATCTAGTCGTTTTAACGCCCTTTGCTGTATTGTCGCTTACATTTGTTTTGTCATACATTTGAGATGTTCTTCCCACAGTGAGGGAGATTTTATCAACACGCCATGTACTACTGCACCATACATACTGGATTTGCTGTGTGTACTATCGGACTTAAATTGTCAAAAAGCTGCTTCCTGTAAAGGATGGATTCTGTGTAAGGCACATGCCTACCTGGTATGGAGGATTTCCACATGTGTCCGGGCTGAGGCTGCTCCTTGGCGCAGTAGACCTGGCTGTTCCAGCCGTTGGAAGCGAGAGTCCACGGTTGGTAGCTCTCCATAGGCAGAAGAGACTCGTGTCTGGCCTCTGAAGACGCGCTGATAGTTGGCACTACTGGGACGTCCAGGTAACTGGGGACAGGTTGGTACGGGCCAGAGGGATACGTTGGATAAAAAGCAAATTCCTTTGCCCGGGAGGCGAAATCGTCGCCTGAGGCGGACGTGTCCATGTATTTCTCCCCATACGCGGAGGGGGGCTGCGCTCCGCACGACTTTATGCTGCTGTGATGCGACATTCTGCACGGGTAACCGAAGTACCCGTACGGCAGGGACGCGCTGGACGAATTCTGAGCTGCAGAGCAGGGGCTGCACTGTTTCACAGGCTCGCCCATCCCGGAGGTATGCACGTCGCTGGACGAGTACGCCGTGCTTGGTGCCAGGGATGCGGGGTGCGCCATCAGATTCCTGCACTGGTTCGCAGCAAAGTTGCCACCAGCAAAACCCTCCATGTTCTTGCTCACTTCATCGGAACCGCCGCCGTTGTCGTAGAGGAACATCACCGACGGGTCGACCCAGCGAGGACGGAGGAGCAGTGACGTTGTCATAGCACGGCATCCAACATTGAAGCTTATGGCTCTTTTTTAAAAAGCCCTCAGACTGAAAAAAGGGAGATACTGCTTCCCGGAGAGTAAAGCCACTCTGACGCGCACAAGAGCGCAGATGTGGCGCTGTTATTGGTCCAGATGTGGTCACGTGACCGGGCTATGCAAAGAGGACGGTAAACATCAGCAGATAATTAAATGGAGAAAAATGCGGCGAAGGGAAGGTGACTGCACCTATCGAGGGGTTTGACTTTTGTCATATTTGATTTAACCAGCATGGATGATGTGCATTAATTTCAAAACAGAACGTAAGGTACAATTTACATGAATCTGTGCTTACGCTCATTTAGGTTTCATGCATCCAAATGATAGAATTTCGTCATTTTGAGAGGAGAAATGCTTATTTTCACATATAAAATGCAAACAAAAGTCGATTATTTAAAGGTATGCAACATTTTTTTTTAAAAAAAAGAAAGAAAACCGTTGTGACCCAGGCAGTTACATATGACTCATATGCAACGCTTTTAGCCTTTACGCATGCATACTGACCTGCCTTTGTTTGCCTCGCTGTACAAATTCTAATATTATAACACTCTTTACAACAGAACCTTCTTAGTGTAAAAATAAAGTCTGATATATCTGTGCATTGCACCGATATACACGGAATTAAACAGGGTACTTCTGTCTCCCGCTGATACGCCTCTGTTTGCGCTTTATCCGATAGGACGTGTAAGATGAAAAAAAAAGTTTGATCCTAGTAACTTGGAGGTATTGAAATAACACATATATAATATATATAAACACGTATAATGAGGCGCATGCGTGTAGTTCTGAAAAGGAGACAGGGTTCACTTGTGTATTTCGATAGCAGTTTAAAAAAAGAGAAAAGAGGACATGAGAGATAATCTCGTGTTGTGGGGGATTATTTTATACACTTGACTTCAGACATGTTTACAGTATGCAAAATCAGAAATCAGAAAAGCTCTCGACATGGTGTGCGTGCGTGTTTTTGCATAGGACGTAAACGCGGTTGGAGGCCAAGGTCAAGTTGAATGTTGCTGTCTAGCCATCCAGTCCCTCGGCCTATTCAGGCTTTGAAGAGACCGTCTGAGCTCTTGAAAAGAGCGGAAGAGGGGTGAGAATTCCTGTCCCAATGAACGCTATTGGAGGACATTAACTTTTACTGTCATTTTGTTATCTCCCCTGTTTACTCTTGCGAACTAGTTCGAACCCGCTCCTTCTTCTACTTCTTCTTCTGGGTGGCACGTAGGCCTATACCTTTGAATCCCAGCGTTGGAAATGTAAAAAGGATAGGGCTGGGGTTTTGTTTTATTTTTTTTTTTTTTTTTTTTTTTTTTTTTGGTGTGTGTGTGTGTGTGTGTGTGTGTGTGTGTGTGTGTGTGTGTGTGGTGTGTGTGTGTGTGTGTGTGTGTGTGTGTGTGTGTGTGTGTGTGTGTGTGTGTGTGTCTGGTCTGCTGGTTAGTGTTTATGACCAGTGGCTCTCCGTCTATTCACTGCAGTAGGACCTGGTGGATTTTCCCTCGTGGTTGTTACCAGATTTTCCAAATCCACCATAAATTGTCACCTACATGTCCCCGTGTGTACTGTTTCTGCTATGAGACTGGGGAACTAAACACCCAAAGAGAAGCTGCTACTCATGGATGGAGGTGTTTAGCTTCAAGCCAAATACTTTACATGAGAACAGTAATTTTTAAAAATTGTTCCGTCACATTTGTTATCTAAAATATGAACAACTGTACAGTAAATTCCAACACATCGTTAACTTCGATAATATATCAAGTGAAACTAGATATTAATAAACAGTAAACACGGATTTAGGCAGTTTGGTTTTATATTGTGAACCGTAGACTTGCTGGCACCGGGCGACAAAAAAGGGATGGACTGAGGTTGTTAAACAAAAGGAAGCTTAAGACAGCAGTTTGTGTTAAAAAAAAAAAAATAGAAATAAATAAAAAGTGTGCTTGATGCTTTATCTTTTTGGGGGGAGGTGCTTGATTTAAGAGGCATATGATGCAGATGGAGAGAGAGTATTTGGGATGGATATTTTTTTTCTCTTCTTTTTAATGAGTTCCACATTTATCCAAAAGAGAGAACACCCAAAGAGATTTAATCTTAATGTTTTGAGTGTAACTAAAAATGTAAAATAAATAGCAGATTATCGTTACCAAGTTTTTTCTTTGTTTTGTTTTTTCAAATGAGCCATTAAACGTGGGTTTGTAACGCTTATTATTAAAGTGAAAGATTATGACATTCAGAACTAGGCTGCTGTCTGTCTTTTTGAGATCAAAGGGAAATCTGTTCCTTCCATGGATTTGGATTGCAAAGGCTCTACCTTTTCAAAGACATCTCCGTTTAGACCCATAAACCGCGTCACATGCAACATTTATTTAGTAGTCAAATGGAAAAGTTATTGCATTCGGTGGATTTGAATAATTGTAAGGCTGAAGTAAAGAGGATTCAACGCGAGCTGGTCGGGGTTGGTTCTGAAGTCATCGTACAAGAAAGCTCAAGTAATGAAATCATTCATCAGCAATATGCAACAATATTTATGAGTCTCGCTACAAGGCCCGGCCTGTTGATTACACTGCCTCGTGGCGTTCTCGTCGATACGGGAAAAGCTTTTTTTTTTTTTTTAAACAAACAAAATCAAAACAACAACAAAAAACACGGTTGCGTTAATCCACACTGGACTTTGTTCATGTTAAATCAAGCTGCATTTAATAAAAGTATTCTATCCATTTTTTTAAGTTTCTTGTCTCAGAGAGACTCTTGAAAAAAAAATCAGGAATCGTGTTTTTAATCTCCGTTCTGTCCTTTAATTGTTCATGTTACTCTCCTCTGGTAAGAAGACCAGCCATGGGGGCTGTCTGCGCGTCCATGTGGTCAGTCCAGACACGAGACATCCCAAAGTACAATGAACACACAACAGGAGGGGGCCAGTGCCCGCCGAGGAGACGCACAATTCACCACTGGCTTGTGCTTAAATCGTGTGGCAGGAACCTTCGTTAGAAACACCTTTTAAACGCTTAGACAATTCACTATTGAATTCTTGTCGGATTTGCATTGTATTCTCTGATTTACACACAAACGTAAGCGGGATAAAAAATGAAAGACTAAACGGTGATTAATCTTATATCTGTAAGTTCCACTAAATCAAAGTGAATTTAAATGGCATAAATTTGACGTGCACCCCCTGATCTATTTCAAGCATCCTGCAAAGTTTCTAAGACTGCACTTTGGGATTTGGCAGCAGAGCCTGGAGGCTTTTCTCTGAGGTCATTATCAAGGCTCAATCCCGTGTTTGTACTGGCACTGAAGTTATGCAGTCAGAGAAAGAAAGAGCGCATTTGATCCGCGGCCTGAGCCCATGAAGCCTTGGTAAAGCAGTCTATATAAAGTTATGCCCAGCTATAAATTTATATCCTTAATAACATAAATTGGGACATAAAACAGGGTGCTAAGAACTTGCAGTCAAATGTCGGTGTTGATCGCACGTGCTTTTGTCAAAAAAAGCTGTCAAAACATAAGAGCCAGTATGTTTTTGTGGTTAAAGCAGGGAACCACAAGGCGGTCACACACTTGTCTTTTCCATATTTTCTGGACGACTGCCTGCACTGTGATTATGACGGACTGCATAAAAGTAACAAGGAAAGCTGGCCCACTTCATTCTTTTTTCTTTTTTTTGGGGGGGGGGGGGGGGACACATGCAGTCTAACCTAAAGGTCTACAGTTCTCTAGGAAATCCTTACTCCCACGGTGTTCCCAATGTTCCCTCTTGACTGACACATTTGCTGCAACTTTTCGCTGTGCTTCAGTTTCTCTCGCCGTGGGCTCAAACGTTGCGTTAACAGCCTGCTAAACTATAGCCTGTAAGCTGCATGTGAAATCACTTTATTGGCATGCGAGAACCTCCGTAAATATACAGATCTGCGCTGCCTCTCACTGCATGTTCAGTCGGTTCCACATCTGTTGTATTTCTGATCCGAAGCCACCGTCCGATTGCAGCGAGTATTATTTGCTTTTAAATGCCATCAGGCCGACAATAAGTCATTTTCTCCTTATCTAGCATCATCGTTACATTTTTAATTTGATCCACACATTATTATTATTGTTGTTGTGTTTTGGGGATTTTTTTATTATTATTTTTGCAAAATTTAAATAAAATATTTTTTAGCGAAGTAGGTTTTTCAGTGCATTTGTTTTCTTTTTCAATAATAGCATCGTGAGCGCTAAAATTCCTCCCAAATATGCAACACTGCATTCTAAATTGTAGCGTAACCATTTTTTTAACTGTAAATATACATTTTGAGCAATGGAGTGAGGTTAAATATGTGCACCTGTTAAGCTGCGTTACAGAGGTTTTGCTCTTTCTGCACTCCTAAAGCAAAGACGAAATTGTAAATGTCATTAAAACTGCAGCTCTGTCAATAAAACGCGACAAAACGACTGATTGGGTTTTCTTTTTCTTAACCTCAAGGTGATTTTTCCTTGTTTGTTTGTCTGGTTATAAAGATAGAGACTGAAATGGCTCGCCCGTTTTAAAATGTTGTCGGAATGTGGAGATTGAAATAGAATGGTTGCATTTCGTTACTTCAGAAATCAAATACCTCTGCATGGACTGTTTTCCTATCTTCCTAATAATTTTCTATTGAGTTTTGAAACTTGCAAAATAGTTTAAAAACCATTATTATCAAAGCAGCATTGGTTTTAAGGCATTTGCAGGGGAAAGGCCTGCACAGTTTGGCGTTCACGAACTGGAATTTAATGAAAAAATGAAGACTTGGATAGTTTAATTAAAAAACAAAACAAAACAAAACTCCACGGGATGAACAATTTAAAGACAAACAACTCAAAAAAACATTGCAGACGTAGTTGAGTTGACATAAGGCCCGCTGTCTCCGTGCAGGTATTTTTCTAGTCAACCAGGTGTGGTAAAGGCAGCAACTTAACTTATACTGAGATTTGTAAAACTACAAAACTCCTAAAACATTGGGCTTATTCACTGCGGGACCTATGTGTCTCACGCCTTCAATTACATGCAAATCAACGGGATGCCCGTTTGTATGTTGCTTTGCATCCACACATCATTATTTGAACGGCGGTTGTGGGAAAAATAAAAAAATATTTTTTTAAAAAACCCTGAAAACTGAGGGCAGAAATGTGAATAGGATGATCTTGCCGGCAGTATAACTCAATAGCTCATTATTAGAGGCTAAAATTAGTGGAGAGCAGCGAGAAAACAGAGGCACATGAGCATGCAGTGGGGACTGATGACAGCGGCACTCTGGCAAAAAAAAAGAAAAAAGAAAAAACATTTGCAACCAGGCAGACTTGTAAATATCACCTTTCTCAAAGATGCCAGGGACCCACATACCAGACTAAAGAATTGCATGCACTCTTGTGAAATATCGGGGCTTTGCACCTGGTGGGTTGCCCTGCTGCTGCTGAACTAATGGTAAGCCATACCCCGTGATGTTTCCCCTTTTAATTGGGTAATACAGGTCTGATCTCAGTGGCTTGCTAAGCCCTTGGTGTAATAGCGTAGGGTGTGCGGGATGGAGCAGGGAAGTGCGATAAAAGAAGTTCTTACAGCAGAGATTTCCAGCTGTATAGTCATCAGGACTCGTTTCGCTCCAAGGTCAACGAGTTAACTCTCTGGTAGCTGCGTCATCCCGTTTCAAGGCCAAGTTGAAGCAACGGAGACGGGAGGGGCCACCTTAGTGAGGAGAGTCTAAATTGTTATTTTCTTCCAGGTTCCTTGTGTGTGAAACGCAGTGCGCCTCAGCCAGCGGCTGGCTCAACAACCACCAAACTAATTCTTGCGCAATTCCATCCCGCACTGAAGCACATTTTGTGCTAAAAGCAAACATTGTGACAGATCTGCACCGCCGCGGCCAAGGATTGGATTACACGCAGACTGCGCAGGCTCCATGGTCAAGTTCAAGTTGGGCTGGCTAGTAAAACTAAGGGGCGCATTCTGCAGTGTCTGCCATGGGGGGCGCTCCCCACTCTTTGATCTTCCCCTGAAGAAGTAGACACTGGAGAGGCGCCTACACTGCAGTCCAGTTTTCTGCACTTGTGCCACAAGAATGTGGATCAAATGTTCATTGAATAAAAAATAATAATAACTGCGTTCCATGCTATGGAAATTGCTTTATGTAAATAAGTAAACCGCGTTCCACGCCCAGCAAGCTCTCCAAACCAATCCGCTCTCCTTTACTATCTAAGCCACACACAATATGTACTGTAAATGCACAAGGTCACCCATTGCGCAAAAGCATTTTCGAAACGTTATCTCAGGGTGATCACAAGATTTTATCTGCGACCCATTACGTAACGAGCGAGGATCTTGGCGCTTGACCAACAAACACTGCGCGATGACCAGTGTTTATGATTTTTCAAAACAAAAGTAACAAGTTCTTTCATTTCTTGGACGTAATTATGTCATTTTGATAGATAGATAGATAGATAGATAGATAGATAGATAGATAGATAGATAGATAGATAGATAGATAGATAGATAGATAGATAGATAGATAGA